ACCTTTAAACTAGGCTTGTCAGGGGAAGGGGAAGACAAGGGTGAAGGAAGGTGGTGATGATGTTGATGTTGCTGGTGCTGGTGCTGTTGGTGTTGATGCTGCTGCTGTTGCTGCTGGTGATGGGGTTGCTGCTGGTGGTGGTGCTGCGGCTGCGGCTGAGGCTGTAATGGAGGGTGCAAGGGACCCTTTACGTTTAAAAAAAATAGGAAAAAAAAAGATACATTTGTTTTGCAATACCAAATAATTAAAGTTCCTGAAAAACAGCACCCAAACTTTCAGACACCCAAGCAGATTTGCTGTCCTCACACACCAGCCTCTCAGATGGTGGAAAAGGATCTACAGAAAAAAAACTATAAGAACCACTAGGTCAAGAGTAAGTGTAGACTGACAGCAGTAGTGTAGGGACTTGATAATTTGTGTGTGGTAAACACCTGAAGTGAAAAAAAAAATCCCACATGAAATCTCCTATGGACACTGTTAAACAAACCTTCCTATTTGCTTTTCAGAATTACCAGAATACCATATTAATTCTTCAGAGTAAGCTCCTAGTGCAGGAATCACAGGAAATTTGTAATATTTAAGGGCCTCTGCATAACACTCTTAATGTTCATACATAAAGAATTTTAATAAAACAGATTAAAAGTAAAGAAAACTAATTTTAAGAGGCCACACTTTTCTCCAACTGGTAGTCCCATAAAATACAAGATACTTTTGTCAGCAGAGGGCACTGTAGCCTTTCCTGTGTAAAGAGAAGTAACCCACCATAGTCTATATTTTCTACCTACAAACTTATCTTTTCTCTGTACATGGACATAATTTTAAACAATACAATGCTTTCATATTTCTACTGAAGTAAATCAATTTAAGGAACCATGTGATGTTGAACAAACTGTGACATGAAAAACTTTTCTAATCTCATTAGCTATAAACAGTTAAGCAGAAATCACAGTAATTTTAATAACTTCACTTCAGCAACAGTATGCTGGTGCAGGTTTGCTGTTATCCTTCATAATTAAATTAGTATTGGACACAGAGGGAGCTTTTCATCACCATGTCAAACATAAAATGGTAATATGCACTACATTTAAATCTTTCAAATTTGTAACAGACAAACCTTCACATTTAGTTAGATTACTAAAAACTTAGGCAAAGATCCCAATACAGTTAACCAAGTGGAAATATTTCAAAGATTTTAAAAGGCCCTTTTCACCAAGATCATACCTGCATATTGGGTTGTGCATGCGTTGCTAGAAATGGCTGTCCTGGGCCTTGTAAGAACTGTTGCCTGGGAGGAATGAAAGGCCGTGGGTTTGCTGAACCTGGCTGGTTGAAGTGAAGAATTCCCACTTGAGGCTGTAGGTTTGGTCTTATTGGCCTCTCTCTGGGAAAAACTGGTTGCTGCCCTTGCTGATTAAATCCTGGTCCAGGCTGACTGAAAGGCAGAGGATTTTGGGTAGGAACAGGATGCGTACTATTGAGAAGCGAGGGAGGTGGCGGTGGTGGGGGACTCCGCTGTTCAAACAAATGATGGCTTGGAAATCTTGGCTCTGTCAAAATGAAATATATAATTAAGTGGTCGCCTCTTCAGAAACCCACGTGGATTTTTTTTTTTTAAACCCACATTTTCACCCCATTTCAACTTCAGATGAAAAACTTGAAAATCTCATGTTAGGGGAAGGAAACTTCACAACATTGAAAGAAGAGCAACTCTAAGACCACATATACATAGTCTTCCTGTTTAAACCAAGGAAGGCACAGACACCCTTCGCAAGGAACAAGCAATTAGCAGCCAACTGGAATTGGTCATCTCATCATTTTATTTCTATTGCAGAAGCACCTAAAGATTAAAGCAATTAAGGCCAGGGAAACAGAAAAGCTAGAACACTTCAATACTATTTCAGTACTATACATACTCCAAAAAAAATGTTTTTTTTTAAACAAATCAAGCCACATTAAACTTTTATTTTCTCAGAACCATTTGTTTGGTATGCAGCATCACTTAACTGAAAGATTGTTTAGAATACACACAAAGTTAAATTTGCAAAGGGACTAACTATTCCAAGATAAAACTGTTAAATGGAGGAAACCAAAGCTGAATAGACAATTGATACAAATATTAAATATCTCAGCAGTAGGAAATAAAACTGTCTGCAGCTTGCTAGCTTTATTGTAGACATGTAGTAGCTAGAGATGGAAAAATATGGGTTGGTCTTAGTTAAAAACCGAAAAACCCTTCAGGTGACTGAAACTGTTTGGCCTATGCTACAAGGCTTGCTGGACTAAAATAAGTGGCACCTTTTCATCTTCACATGTGTGAATGAATCTGTGGAGATACTACTTAAAAAGCATAAAAAGTATTATCCTGTACTCTAACTGAACAATAAATTTTCTACCTCCTATGAAGAAAGGCTCTCTTTCTTGAGGAGGAGGTGGAGGGGGCGGTGGTGGAGGTGGAGGTGGGCCTCTCCATTGGTCCTGAAGAGGAAGTCGTGGTGCTTGGGTGAAGCTGGTGGGAACAGGTCCAGGAGCATGCTGCTGAAAATCTGGAGGGCCCTGTTTATTTACAAGAAAAAACTAAATAAGTCCACTTTTGAGATATTAATCCATAATGCATTATAATTTTTTCCTTAATGATAGGAGATTAAAAAAAATCAATTTATCAATCTGCACAAATTGAAAGCCCTACCGAGTTATTCTTCTACTATGGAAGAGTAACTAAAAACTCAGTACAGTACCCTGAAATAAATTCACAATGTTTTAATAATCACTGTACCACCATAGGAATACCATTTCTTTTCAAGCTCATTGAAATCCATGCAATTATTGACCTTCTTTTCCATTAATCCAAAACTCTGAATGTCTACTTTAAAAAACGTTCTTGACATTTATCTTCTTAAACCATGCTATTCTTTGCCATCTATGTAGTACAACCTAAGCTACAGAAATGAAGCAGCTTTACTTTAAAAGGCAAAAAGAAAAAAAAAAAAAATCAATTTGTAGCATCCAGAAAATTAAATAAATCATCTTTCAATAAACGAAAAGGGACTAACATATCTGTCAATTCACATAAGACTTAAATACTTAAGCATCTGAAGCATTACACAAGGAATATGAAAGATTAAGAAAAAATGTTTCCTTACTTGATTTTTCTAAAAGTTTTAAATGAAACCCTTAAATGTTATAGGTGAACGTATTTCTCACTGTGAAACAGCAGTGTAAAGAAAATACTCGGAGTTAGATCAGTAATTCATTCTACCACAGTCCTTGTTTACTTACACAGAAGACCATACATTTTTGAAATTGCCCAACATCAACTTAAAATCTGAGGCAAGTCTCCCATCAATCACTACATCACTGATGATTTGGGGATGGCATCAACTGCATGCTCAGCAAATTTGCAGATCACACCAATTGGGGTAGAGTTGTATACACTCTCAGGGGTAGGGCCAGGTGACCTAAAAACTGAAAAAGTTAGCTAAAACTCAATCCAGTGAAACTCAAAAAGGGACAAGCAAGCCCTATACGTGGGACAGCACAAATACAGACTGGGGAATGATTGGCTAGGCTGTGGTATAGCAAAATCCTGGAAATTACAGTGATCCACAATCAGAACATGAGCCAACAGTATGCTCGCTGCTGGAAAAAACACTACACTACAGCATAGTGGATTGCATTGACAGGAGTGCCTCTTGCAAACCAAGGGAAATGATTCTTCTGCTCTAGTCAACACTGGTGAGGCCTCACCTGGAGTACTGTGTTCAGTTTTGGGCCCCTCACTTCAAGAAGGATGCAGACAGACAGAGTCCAGGGGGAAGTAACAAAAAGCAATTAGGAGCCTGGGAAACATGACTTCTGAGGAAAGGTTGAAAGAACTAGAATTTAGTCCAGGGAAGGGAAAACTGTGGGGAGATTTGATAAATCTTCAATTAAGAAGAGGATGGAGCTAGATTTTTCTCTGTGGTTGTAGGGGTCAGAACTAGGAGCAATGACCTCAAACTGCAGCAGAGGAAATTTAGACTGGAGATTAGAAAGAAGTTTCTGACTAGGTCACACTGGAACAAGCTACCTTGAGTAGCCGTGAAACAAACTAAGGTCTGGCACACTGAATGGGGTTGGAGGAAGTGGGGGTAAGATGACCCCAGTACTCTTTCCTGCCATGGCAGGGGGCTGGACTAGATGATCTACTCAGGTCCCTTCCGACCCCAGAAACTATGAAACTATGACAGATTTCAGCATCATTAGCTGCCACTGATAACATCCCATCATGCAATTTAGTGGTATGGTGACTTAACCATACTCAGTAATTCTAAGGAAACAGCCTGCGAGTTCAAGAACAGGATGCCACCCTATCACAAAACTATTACAGGTGCACTGATACAAATCGGTCCAACATCGGATCGGCAAAGATATAAAGAAAATTTTCTGCATCAGAAATGGGCCTGACGCAGCCGATTATTGCCTGATAAATGCCCGTGCGTGTGTGCAGTTGCAGCGCAGCACGCAGGCAGTGAGGAGCAGAGGTGGCAGCATGGAATGCTTCATACAGCTGGTAAGTCTGTTGTGGTGGAAGGGGAAGGGGAGGTGGGAGGCAAAAAGGATGTGGGGGTGGCCACTCATCCGAGGGGGCATGTGCCCCAGATCTGGAAAGGGCAAGGCAGGTTGGGACCGGGCTCTTCCTGGCTGGCAGATCCAGGGGAATATGCCACCCTGCTCCGTGCCCTCCCAGACTCGTGACAGGAGCCACCAGACAAGCACCAGATGATCCATGCACAGCAGCAGGAGCCACCCCCCTCCCTTCCTGTGCCCCACGACAAGCCGCACCTACACTGTACCCACCCTGGCTCCAGCCCCAGCCCATGCAGATCCAGGGGCTACACACCTCCCCTGCCTCCTGAACAAGCCACTTGCGGCTGTGTCCTATGCCCCTCCCTACCTGGCTGGTCAGTGCCTGACCCTGCTGCATTCCCTCCCTCATCCCAGGGGCCTTGATCTGTCCCCCCACACTCCTTCCCTTCTACCACACCAGACTTACCAACTGGAAGCAGCTCTTCAAGTTGAAGAGCTGCATATAGAAAATTGGATGGGTATCAGCTGATATACCTCCTTAAAAACTGGCAATCAGTATCAGTCCCAAAAATCTCTATCGGTACACCCCTAGAATCCATCCAACCCTCCATCCAGGCATGTGAGTGTGCAGCCATGCATCATATTTACTTCAGTATAAGGCAAGGTTTTTCTTCCCAATGAGCATGGGGGAAAAAGCCCATCTGCAAATATGAGGAAGTAGAGAGGGGAGCAGGTGCCCCACACTGCAGCTT